CAAAATGCTGATTAGTTAGAGCGTATTTGCATATAATAGCTGTTTTTTATTTTATCTTTAGATTGCTAATTAATTATATGACCTAAAACTAAAAGATTGAATTGTTAACAGAACTAGATGAAATTAATGAAATTAATTCATTTGATCAAAAAAAAATATTTCCAACATATCGATACTTATATTCATAACGACGAAGTGTTCATATTTTAGAAAAATCAGCAAAATCATGCACCTAATAATTATTTTTGTTCCTACACACTTGCATCTGTTTCTACCATCTTGTCACCATCGTTACTATTGTTTGATTAATATTTGTCCTGACAATAATATTTGCATTTCCTTTAACATTGTGTATTTATTGCTCAAATAAATTTTACTGAAGTATTCGACACATAAGTATCTAAGACAACTATAGGTTGGTTTGTTTTTCTCTTTCTCCGACTTATTCTGGTAAATGAGTTTTGAAAATTTTTTTTTTTGAACGATTCCATGTCATGCGTCTGCGTGTATGTTTTAGTTCTTTTTTACCATTTATACCCTAAATTGGAAGCGATGTTAACAATAATGATGACGTTTATATAAGAAAAAAAAAATATAGAAAAAAAATCGGCCCATAAAAGTAAGAAATAGACAAAAAAGAAAAGCTCCATTTGCTTTGTTTTTTTTTCTTATTGAAATTTAAGACGAATAATACAATAAATTTTAGTGTAAATAATGGCACAACCATGGCAAGGTGATTATTTTTCTATTCGTATTATCTTTTATATTTTATTATCTGATTTTAGTTGGAATATTCGGGTGTTTTGAAGACATTCCAACATGTTTACTTGGTTGGTGTTGTTCATGTTATTTATTTGGTCGTAATGCTGAACAAATTGATGGATCAAATAAAATTCACATGTGTATTGGATATGCATGCTTATCCGGTTGTTATCTTTGTTGTATACTTCATAAACCACGGCGAGAAAAACTTCGTACAGCATATAATCTTATTGAAAAACCAAGTGATTTTCTTGCTACATGCTGTTGTAGTGGTTGTGCTAATTGCCAAGAAGCAAGAGAAATGCAATTACGAGGTTTGCAATTGGGATTCATTTCGAATTTTTAGTTGTTCTTTTTTTTTCTTTGTCTATTTTATTTATTTTTAGGTATCCAACCTGGTATGCGTGTTCCGATAGCTTCTCAACCACATTAAATACAAAAATTATTGTTTATAAATAACAATTAGAAACAAAACAGAACTTATAACAGCCATCAATGTTGTGTTTCATTGTTGTTTGTATTTTATTCTACTCCGTCATTTTTCTTTTATTGTTGTCTGCAAAGTGGTCTGACTACTAAAAAAAACATTACGAAGATGATGTTTAATAAAATAAGTTATAATTCAGTTGATAATGTATTATTCAATAAAAAGAAAATTAATGGAAATATATTCAACAAAAAAGAAAGAGAAGAATAAAATGCATACTTTATGTATAAATAAATTTATTCAAAGTATAGGATATTATATCACACTAATATTTTTTATGTAAAATCTTATAAATAAATACTAACAAGTGATATATCTCTCATTGTTGATTTCTCTTGTCTGTGCACTTCTTTTCAAGCTTTCTCTAACATTTATGAATAGGAGTGTTATAGAAAAAAAATATATATAAGTTAATGGTCTTTTTAATAAACAATGTACATAACAATAACGCATTATATTGAAATATTACTGCAACAATTTTAAGAAAAATAGTTCTTAATAAATGATGAAAATTTCTAAATAGAAAAAAAAACATAGGCAACTCAGTTGAAATGAAAAGAAAAATGGTAGTTCGGTTTGTCCATTAGTGATATCTTGTTGTTTTAAAACACATGTACTGTCTGAAATATTCAAATTATTAAAATATACATTTCGACAATAATACTTATCGGTTTCTTAATTGAGAAAATCTATAGATAAGTTCATAGGTATCTAAACACTTTTTTGAAAAAGGTTTTTTTTTAATTGGCTTTTGTCATGCTAGTTAGGTAAGAAATAATCAGAGAACAACTTGGACCGAAAAATTTGTCAACTGTGGTCTAGAATGACACAAATTTGGAACATCTTTTATGAATGTCAAAAGAAGATCCTACTAATGATATCAAATTTTTGAGTTCACATTTTGCCCCTAAATAAAGAATCATTAGACTAGTGCAATTTTTGAAGGATTCTTCTTATTATCGAAATTTGACTGAGATATCAATGTTTTAAAACACAGAAGTTTTTCATGTTTTTATAATTTATGCTCCGCTTTGAAACATTGATACGTCGATCAAATCTCAATAAAAAGAAGAATCCTTTAGAAATTGTACTAGTCTAATGGTCCTTTATTTATGAACGAAATAGAAGGTCAAAAACTTGAAATCATTGATATGATCTTCGTTAGACATCCATAGAAAATATTCCAAATCTCTACCATTTCAGATAAAAGTCGACAAATTTTTCAGTAGAAGTTGTTTTCTAACTACTGCACACCTAACTAGCACGATAAAGCCGATAAAAAAAAGCGTTTTTCAGAAAAGCAGTTGGCTCCTCATGAATTCATTCATATCTATTATCTGAATTCTTTATAAATTCAAAGAAATTATCTGATTATTTTCAAAAAGAACTATTAGCTCAATCCCTACAAGATTAAATGTCAATCATGATTTAGCTGCTGTTGATAAGCATAGGACGATAGTGTAACCCAAGCTATGTTAGGACACATCTCTTCGCCATTCTTTTACGTAGCCCTTCAGAAATGCAATAAGGAAATAGTTACTGAGGTATCTGTCATGGTCAATTGGCCATGTCTGTTATGACTTGTGGAAGGTTCAAATTTTTACTTGCATACTACAATACTCCTTTTAGATCGTGTTTCACAAAATAAAAAAAACACATATAGACAATGGCAGTATATGTAGTATGAATATACTATTACCATTGATTCTTAATAATGATTATTCTACAGAAAAAGTGGATAATAGTATATAGGCAGCGAAAAGAAATAACATCATATATTTAAAATGATTGATAAGAACTCATTGACTACAACAAGAATTTCGATTTATTATCGATTGTTTTCTTGTCAACAGCTTAAAATTCTTGAGAGAAACTAATGAATATCTATGATTAATATATTTTATATACTTAACCTATATATCATAGTGATGTATGGTGATTAGTCAAGTTTGGCATATAAAAAAAAAGGAAGAAGAACACTGTAAATAATATATGATAATAACTAAATCTATGAAACAAAGTAAATCTAATATTTCATTAATTAGTTTAGTTAATAATTATGAAATGTTCGTCAAATATTTCAAATGTCTTTTTTTCGAAATAGTCTGATTAGAACCTAACTAATATTGTACGTTAATAAAATCCCAATAAACCTTTTATCTGTTAATATTAGTAAATAAATTATAGTTTGAATTTAACGCAGAGAAAGACGAACAAAATATTTTGAAAAGAAAATCGAAGATAAAATATTACAATGTTCACAAGCGAGTTACACTTTCATTTGAAGCAGTTTCAGAATTATTCTCTTGTTTTTCATCTGAAGTCCTGAATTGATTATTGAATAAATCACGAACATGTGGTCGTGATACATATTCTTCAGGTTTTGTTATTGTTGCAAATTCACCCATATATTCCGCTGATTTATTATATGCACCACTGAAATTTGCAGAAGTTAATGGACCTGAATGAAGATTAGGATCATTGGTATTTGAAAATGTATGAGAAGTATTTGAAGGATCATCTATTGATGATGTAGATGTTAATTTTTCTCCATCTGGTAATGATGAACGTCTCCAGGGGCAAATTCGTTCAGCAGCTGTAGCTCCATCCATTTTTACAGTATCATCTATTTTAAAAAATAAAAATTCGATAAAGAAATTTTTCTTGGAAAAGAATACCTTCATTTTCAATAACAATTGAGACAGGAGGAATTGGTTGATCAATGTCTTTTGTTTCAGCTAAAAAGAAAATGAAATAGAAAATTTTTAAATTATATATTAATAGCCATACATAGTGATTTTATTGGTTGATCGGATGAAAGTGGTGGACTTTTGCTTCTTGATTTCGATTTTTGTTGTTGTTGTCGTTGTTTAGGAGAATTTGTAGATTTAAAACTTTCTCGTTTATATGATGGTATTAATGAATGTTTAGATGAACGTGAATCATGATCAGCTTGAGTTGATGATGCTGCTTTTGCACCGGTTAAACGATTAGTACCACTACTACTTCTACCAGTTTTACGTCCATGCAATTGTTCCTTATCAAGTCTTGGTGGTATATATATATGATTACGGTGATGATAAGATTTTTCAAAACGATTGTTTGTTTCATTATTTGTATCGGCCGTTTCATCTTTACTTCGAACATGAATAGTTGCCTAAAATAGTATATTTTCTTTAATCAATAGAATTTATTTTTATTCTTTTTAAATGAGAATAAATGAATTAAATCAAAGCATTGATATTTTGATACATTATTCATTTGAATTTAAATGACTTTTCGCTTCCCTCATCAATGTATCTGTTGAACGGACGAAAATGAAAAATTTTATAGGATTTACAATCAATTCATAGGTATGAGAAAATTCACTTCTGATGAGATGTAGATGTAGATGGGTGTGAATATGGGTGATTCATGTTCCACTGCGCAAACCCACAACTACACCCACACGGTTTCTTTATTATACCATGCACATTTCCCTAACGCAAAAGAAATTAGTTGATCGAATTTGCTTTCGAAGTCACTTTCGATATTGACTTTTCGAATATCTTCTATAATGTTGGAAATGGCAAAGAATAACTATAAAGTGTGCGACCTAATTTTAGCCCACTTTACATATATATATAGAGTAGGCTAAAATTAGGTCGCACACTTTAGATTCTCTTATTCACACGAAATATATATTATAAAGCACTCATATTGGTTCCAAAGGACAAATATTTTGTTTTTCTTTCTTATCAGTAATCGTTTGCTTATGATACAATTTTAGAAATTATATATATGAAACATAAGATAACGATAAGAAATCCCAGAAACAATTGCTTACTCTTGGTCTTGCACGATAAAGATTTGTATCAAGAAAATGATGCATTTGTGCATCATCATGATAATGTTCAGTTCCTTGACTTTCAAAAAACATTAAATCAGGTACAGTTTGTTCTGGTAAACTAGAATATGATATAAAATCAAGAAAATTTAAAATTTAAATAAATAGAAAATAGAACAAACTTGGCAGCTAATAATTGTGAAAAATTTGCAAATGTACTTGAAGGTCTTAAATTAGCTCCTGATGGTGATGTATGAATAGTTGTTGATGATGGTGTTGGTACAAGTCCTTTTGATGTATCATGAACTTTCATAGCTGATTGCATATTTATTTTTTTAAATGTTTGTAATAATTTAATATCCATTTTTTCTTGTGGTGTTTCACGTAATAACCAACGTTTAAAATAATTTCGATCAAGATTTCGACATCTAAAAATATTTTTGTTTTTTCGAAAACAGAAAAAGTTTTTTTCAATTTTCTTTTTTTAATCTTCATACTTATCACGTAATGAATTACTTCCACCACTACCAGATATTTCTTCAAGACAAGTCATTACATGATCCATCATCTTTATATGAAATAATTTAATTGAAATTAAAAAAATAAAATAATTAAA